CTGTTGGGGCTATGAGCTACGTGAGCGATATATTCATTGAAATCTCTCCACCTGTTTGCAGCTGACATGCATGGACAGGCCTTTGTCAAGTCTTTATGTTGGTCGGGAGTTTTGTTTCTTCTTGCATGAGACTGACTTAGCGCACAGCAAGGAATCCAGTACAAACTTACCAAGAACTGCTCAAGTCTATTAGGGACATTTTGAAGCAACATTATCAGCAGAAACCGCAACTATCGAGCTCGCACCCCATTGTAAGCCTTGCAGTTTGTAGTGTGGTAGATTCAGATTAACACCGCTTTTCTCAGGATACTAATTTACGCTTCATCCTCTAACGTGACGATTTTGGGCATTATTATTATGCTGCGGTGCTCGCAATACTTATATCATATTAACCAACTTAGTGTTCTATGTACGAGACTAGTATTTATGTATCAGTCTTGGTCTCTCGTTGACGAGATATGTATGTCTAGTTTCGAGCGGTGATGAAAACGCACCGAGGTACTTTGAATCAACCCTTCTCTTGTTCCGCATCACTATATTTTCACGTACTCTTGTCCACAATGATTCTAATGATTACCCAAGAGTCAAGTTACCCCTGCGCTTGATATTTATTGCCTTGTTTAAATATCAAGATCAACTAGAAGCAATCTGCTTCTCGGCACTTGAGGTGAGCAATGTTTTCAAAGTATACCATGGCTCCGAGGACGACTCAGAATGTAAGTAGTGGCCTGGCGTGAACAGACAGGGACGCACCAAATCATAGTATCCGAGTCACCGTGGAAGTGAGTTTACATTACTGCTGCGCACTGACAGGCACAACTCACTGTCACGCTCCCGCTAGCCCTGCCTTTAACTAACAAGGTTAGCCTTGACTAAATGTATGTCCCGACCATTATAGGGCTATAATGGAGGTGGCGGTCAGCCGCCACTACCTTTTTTGGAAGGAGATTTCTCACGCATCTAGCCGCCACCTTGCCGCCACTACCTATTTTGGATGGAGATTCTCACACATCCTGCCGCCACCTGTCCACCTGTCCTTCTGTCCTTCTGTCCTTCTGTCCTCCTGTCCTTCTGTCCTTCTGTCCTTCTGTCCTTCTGTCCTTCTGTCCTTCTGTCCTCCTGTCCTCCTGTCCTCCTGTCCTTCTGTCCTTCTGTCCTCCTGTCCTCCTGTCCTCCTGTCCTCCTGTCCTCCTGTTCTCCTGTCCTCCTGTCCTCCTGTCCTCCTGTCCTCCTGTCCTCCTGTTCTCCTGTCCTCCTGTCCTCCTGTCCTCCTGTCCTCCTGTTCTCCTGTCCTCCTGTCCTCCTGTCCTCCTGTCCTCCTGTCCTCCTGTCCTCCTGTCCTCCTGTCCTCCTGTCCTCCTGTCCTCCTGTCCTCCTGTCCTCCTGTCCTCCTGTTCTCCTGTCCTCCTGTCCTCCTGTTCTCCTGTCCTCCTGTCCTTCTGTCCTCCTGTCCTTCTGTCCTCCTGTCCTTCTGTCCTCCTGTCCTCCTGTCATTCTGTCCTCCTGTCCTCCTGTCTGTTGGATGTTCAACATCGACTCTGCGTTCCTTTCTCTTGGTTATGTACAGTTCATATTCACCTTGCATGCTGTCTCTCACTTACATTGTTTCTTCACTCACCTATCTTATTTCTCCTCATGATGGTATCGTCATGGGGAAGCATGATCACATTTCTGAGTTGCTCAGTATGAAAAATTAGGTTGGTTGGGCTACCAAAATGCAATACACATTCATATGCAAGAACCATGGATGTCACATCAACACAAATGCTGAACTGGGAGATCTTCCCAGTCAACCATCTGTCAAGCCTTTACCTCTCAATCCAGTCAATCCCATGGCCGCTGAAATAATGGCTGCTTAAGGACATGAAGGCTAAAGAGCTCATCACTCATCATCTCAGCTCCTCTGTCACATCTCTCATTCCCAGTCCACACAATGTTACTGCAGGTAAGGCATGGCAAATCCTGCGAGAACACTTTAACCACTGTGAAGGAGAAATAGCGACTAGGCTGGTTAGAAACTAGGGCTACTTATCCAAACAGGCGCGAGTGTAGTATTCGACCCAAGAGGACTGCTATTGAAGCAACTCCCTTCAAATATGCAAGGGTAGCAATGATGCGAAGGGCTAATAACCTATAGCGACCTAAGACCAAAAACCAATGAGTAGCGTTTTAGTGATTAGCGACTAGCGACAAGTGAGTTCCCACAGAGAAACGTGCGTATAAGTGAGGAGCGCTATGCAAGTTGTCCTATGTGACGTCTGACTAGCGACAGCGAGAAGAATCAAAAGAAGGGAAAGCGAGGAACAAGGTATGATAGTGCAAGTGGAATGCCCGATAGTGACTAGATTATAGCTCGACTACCGACAGTGATCCCGATGTTGCGAAAATCAAACTTTATAAGGTATCTTTAGCGACACAACACTCAAAGCAAGTCAAGCGACACGCGATCAGAGAGATTGGCAAGAGTGGAATCGATTGTACCAAAACTAGGATATAGCGACTAAAGTGACTCCGACACCGGCAAAGGTCTGGGGAAGGGAAGTACTGTACTGTATGTAGGACGGATCATTTTATCATACTGCGTAGGGGTTCGGGATGCGTAGGTGAGTATAGTAGTGACACTGGCGAGGGCATGATGTAGCGACAGGTAATAGAACATGCAGCGCTGCAGAGTATGAGGACACATGTAATAAGACCTGTGACTGATGAGTAGCGACATTTAAGGAAATATAATGCACCAGCAGAGGTAGGTGGACATAGGCAGGACATGGGAGGGTGGAATACCTAGACGTTGGACCGGGTAGCACGCTATGGGAGAAAAGTGGTTCCAAAGCGGATAGCTTGGGAGCTGAATAGTGCTGGTGACTAGCGCCTTACTCTTTTCTTCCAGGCAAGTCAAAAATATGCCTATAGCACTCATATGCGCCTAGCGCTGGTATGATTGTTATGCCCATCAGCAGAATAGTAAGGCAGAGAGGGTGATGTGTACAATCAAAGGTCATATGTATGTGATGTTGGACTTTGCATCTCTACCTCCATCCCTGTGGGGTGAGGTGGCACTCACTGCATGCTACCTGTCTAACCAGACAGAATCAAAGCTCTACCTCTGGGGAAAATGCCATACGAAATGCTACACAGGACTCAGCCTAATCTAGGTCACCTCCGCATCTTTAGTACACGACGCTTTAACCCACATACCACCAGAACTACAAGAGAAGCTCAGGCCACATTCTAGAGAGGCGGTTTTCATGGGATTTCCACTTGGAGTCAAGGTGTGGCAGTGTCGCCATGCAGTCACTGGCACTTTCTTCAACTCTCAGGATGTAATCCTCGATGAAAGTCTCTCAAAATCATTAATTCTCCCAGAGCAATGATGAAGAAGACACACCTGCCATCCCCACACCACCAGCACCTCCACCTGTCATTGTTCCTCCCCTGCCACATGTTAACATTATCCATTGCTCTGGTTGTATTCCAGTCCCTACTGAGAAAGGCCAATCTCTCAAGGACCGGATTGCAATGAAAAGGCATGCCTAGCTCCACAATGTGACCTTTGCTCAGCTTGTAGCAATGGAATACCTCCGCCTCATCACACTGTTGACAACAGCACCCACGTCCATCATCCCAGTACCCACATACATGCCTGATCCACAACATCTTCCTCCCATTGACCCAGTAACCATCCTTCCAGATGACAAGGAAGTTGGTTTTCCCCAGGTAATTGCACCGCTCATCATCACTGAGGTTGCTTGTCTATCAGTGTGTAGTTACACACATCATAATCCTTACATGCCTGGGTATAACCTCAAGGTGCCTTCTGCAATGTATGATGAGGCAACACATTGTCCAGACAAAGACTACTGGCTGGCGGCAATGCATAAGGAAATGAACCTGATGTCTGAAATGCAGGTGTATGAGCTTGTACTCCTGCCTGCTGATTGTTGTGTCATTGGATGCTGTTGGGTACTGGAGTTCAAGGAGGACCTGAAGGGAGGACCTGTATTCAAGGTGAGATTGGTGGCCCAGGGGTTTTCTCAGATTCCAGGAGTCCACTTCGGACACACCTTACCTCCATACCCAAATCCACCTCAATTTGTGTCCTTTCAGTGTGTGCAGCAGCCAATGACTGGGAGCTAGATTGCTTTGATGTAAAGTGCATCTTCCTATGGGAAAAACTTCAGGAGGACGTCTACATGTGCCAACTGCCGGGCTTTGAGTGTACCGGTCCCGATGGCCTTCATTTGGTGGCCCATATACTCTCCTCCCTTTATGGTCTCAAACAGGCTGCATATGACTGGTATGAACTTGCTTTCACATCTCGGGTTCCTACACTGTGATGTTGACTACTCTGTTTTCATCTTCAATCAAGTCAAACGGGAGGGGGTGAGAGTGACCTGCATCATTGCATGGCACATCAACAATGGACTTGTAGACTCAAACAATTATGTTTTCCTTGATAGGATGAAGACGCAAATCACAGAACGCAGTGTAATAATAGACTCAAGACACTGATACTCTCTTAATGAGGCAAGTCTTTCCATATGCGGGTGATGTTCAGCTGAACTTGAATCTGAGATGATGAATTATCAAACAATAATCATCACAAGTTTTCCCTACCCTCACTTATCATCCAGCACCACTACCACTACCACTACAACCATCACTCAGCATGACTTATATTTGCTCCAACTGCTCTACTGAATTCGAGGCTCACAATGAGTACAGCAAGCATAAAAAGCAGTGCTTGAAAGATATTGAGACTTTCAAGTTCAAAAATCTGACTATCACTGTTCAGAAAAATGTCCAGGGTACTTTTGACTGCTGGTGTTCTCATGATGGATGTGTAGATGGGAAGAGATCCTATAAAACCATAGAGAGTATGAAGAGGCATATGAGAAATGTAAGGTCTCATTGGATTGGCAAGGTAATTAGCATACATGTATACTAGTACTAATTTCTCACTGATCATTATGGGCAATCCATCAGTCAACTGCTCATCAAAGAACTGAAGAGATTGACGTTGATATGGAGAAGCTTCAGGTAAGCTCATGTATCAACATACATGTATACTAATTTCTGACCAACCATCACAGGCAATCGATCAATCAGTCACTCAGTCTTCTCTGGTAGGTGGCTTATTTCATAATACATATACACCAATTTACCACCATTAGCAACCGACAAAGTCCTCTGCATTGCATCAAGTAAATAAGAAGAATGATACTAATACAGAAGAGCCTGGTGTATGTATATGAGAAGCTAGCTAGTGTATATGTATACTGATTTATCTGAACAAGGACCTGCCACTTGATATGGATGAAGCATTAGACATAGAGTTATTTATGAATCTGCAAGATGATCAGGTAAGCACGAGAATTATCAGACATGTATGATCATGAACCAACATACAACTGCTGCAGGAAACACGGGAAACAGCTTTCCAAGCTGTCCAGCAAGATAATAGAGTAAGAGTAAGAGCAGACACCATTATACACATATGGTGATCAACTGACACTCATCCCAGTCTCAGTAGCAAGAGACACAATAACTCCAGCTATTCAGCAATATGATCAAGTGA